CCGCGTTGTCGTCGACTGCACTGTAGAGTAATAACCCGTCGTGCACCCGATAACGGTGTGCACGAGCACGAAGATGCTTCGGCAGCTTCTGACGAGCTTTGTCAGAAGGCGCTGAGCTGTAGGCCAGCAAGAGTTTCGCGTCCGCGTCGTGCGCGTACGCGACCTTCACGTCGTCCAACAGTGACGACGTTGGGGTGCTCGATCGCATGGCGTCAATGGCATTGACGTCGGCATCAGTCGTGGCATAGTCAGGTCGACGCGAGAGCGCGTCGGCCACCACATTGAGTCTTCCGGGTTTGTACTCAACCCGGAAGTTATACTCTGCGAAGAATGAGAGCCATCTCGCCATCCGTTGCGAGATGTGCGGCGACTTCACAGCCGTCCGCAGCGACGCGTGGTCCGTATAGACCACGAACGGTTTGCTTCCGAGTAGATACACTCGGAACTTCGCGAGTGCGTACTTCATGGCAAGGAGCTCCTTGTCATGTACGGGGTAGTTGCGCTCAGCTGGCTTCAGCAGACGCGATTGGTAGTAGACAACACGATCATGACCCTCGTGATCGTGCTGCATCAACGCACATCCGATTGCGAAGTCGGATGCGTCGCACACAACGTGGAACGGGCGATCTTGGTCGGCCACTGCCAAGATCGGCGCCTCAGTCAAGCCCTGCTTGACTGCATCGAAGGCCTGCTGACACTCAGCAGTCCAAACCCGCTCGGCGTCCTTCTTCATGAGCTGGGTCAGCGGGCGGTATCATGCCCGCGTAGTCCTTCAGGTACTTGCACAAGTACGTGGTCAAGCCAAGGAACTGCCGCAGTTCCTTGACGTTCGACGGCGTCGGCCACTCATTGATCACTCTGACCTTCTCAGGGTCGGGGCGGACACCGTTCTTCCCGACGAGACACCCGAGCACGGGTATCTCGCTCGCCCCGAAGATGCACTTCTTCAGGTTCGCATAGAGCTTGTGCTTGCGCATGAGCGCAAGCAGCTTCCGGAGATGCACCTTGTGCATCTCAACATCGCTCATCCCGTCCGCAGCCCGGCTGTGGACGAACACATCGTCGAAGTAGCTCGGTGCGAAGTCGCGCACCGAGCGCAACAAGTGCGTCACGCACCTGTTGAAGGTCGCAGGGGCGTTCTTCAGACCCTGCGGCATCACTAGCCACTCCCAGAGCATGCCGCTCGGCGTGCTCACAGCCGTGAGAGGGATATCGCTCTCACGCATGAGGATCTGATAGAACCCATCACGCAGATCAAGAGCACTGTAGATAGTGCTCCTGACCATCGAATCGATGATGACATCTTTTCGCGGTATCGGTGTCTGCGCCAGTATCGTCGCATCGTTCAGCTTGTTGTACGCATGAACGATGCGCCAGCCGCCCTGTGGCTTCTTGACACCGAACGTCGGAGCACTGTGCGGGGATTTCGATTCCCGCACTTGTCCAGCTTTGCGACGACTCTCAAAGAAGTCGTCGATCGCCTTGACCTGCTCTCGCGGCAGTGGCCACTGCCGCGTGACACAGTACTTTGTGCTGGATGCCCTTGTCCTGCGGAAGCTCCGCAGGGATCTCTTCCGGAAGCACGTCCGCGTGCTCCCGTAGAATCTCGTAGAAGGGACTCGTCTTCAGCAAGTCCCAGCTCTGCTCCTCAAAGCGCTCCTTCTTAGTCTTCGCACTGAGAGTGTCCTCGCTCTCAGTGGTGCTCTCCATGAAGAACTGCCTCAGTTCTTCATTCTCGCTCTTCGTTCTCTCGGCGTCCGAGAGAATGCATATTTGCTCGATGCGTCCATCGTGCAAGTCACGCGCGAAGCGCTTCCAGCTCATGACTGGAAGCGAAGTCAACTCCGACGCTTGCGTCGGAGGGTTAGCGAGAGTCATCTCCCTGTACCGGAACCCGGCACAGGTACGTTCAACGTCTCGACGTCCGGCTTCTCGGCCCCCGTCTGCCCGGCAGACATTTCTTGTAGCGTCTCGGCCCCAGGCCGAGACTTGCGCAGCGACCTTCGCATGCGCCATCTTCTTGTTTTGCGGAGCCCGGCTCCGCTTGGTTCTTGACCTCGTCCAGGCCCAGCCGTGGACGAGTGTTGTTCTTGTATACCGCCGGCGGGTATATCCCGCGGCCGAGCGACTTCAAGCCCGGCTTGGTCGCCTGGCGCTTCGTCGTGCAGCCCGGCTGCACGACAGCATGCACGTTTTTCCTGTGCGGGACGTTTGCAACCGTCCGCACCGCTTGTAGCGTCGGCTCCCGGAACCGACACGCCATCCTTACCTCGACGTCTGTTATTGGCGGAGCCCTCCATTACGGAGGGTGCGTCGGCTCCCCGAGCCGACGAATCAAATTCACCCAAGCCATCGACTCCCGGAGGCGACGGCGTTTCGTCACCTTGGCTCTTATTATTGGCCAGACCTGATCCAATCAGATTCGCGTCAGCCTCCACGGCTGAGGCGTGTGACTCGCCTGCGTCATCCGTGCCCCTTGAGGCCGGAGACTCTTCTTGATTGGCTGAAAAGCGGGTGTCAGCCTCCGAGGCCAACACATTTCCTTCATTAGCTGTCAGCGGCAACGCCGACGCTAGTTGCTCTTGCGCGCGTGTTCGCGCGCGCCCAGGGCACTCCGGGACAGCGGCATATCTCGAGTGGGGAGTCGCGCGCACCTGTCGGTGCGTGCGTAGCGGCAACAGAGCCATCGCTCACTGTTCCGCTGTCGCGACCGAAGCGCACGAGAGTGCGCATCTCCCAGTCGATGACCGAATCATGCCGTGCAAGCCACGGCATGTCCAATACAATGTCAAACTTATCGTTCAGATCCAGGACGATAAAGGTCTCGACAAACTCTTGATCTTCATACGTGAAGCATGCGCTTCTCGGTTTTCCCGACGGCACCTGGTCACGATGTTCGAGACCAAGTACCGTGCTCTCTGAGCGTAAGCATGGACATCATGCTTGCCCTGCTGCAGGTCGAGGAACTCCGCCCTCGACCGGAACTCGTTTTGTGGGGGCTCAAATGCTTGTCTGAGGTTTTCCTTGAAACCCTCGTACGTGCTAAAGCACGTAGGATCCGAGAGTCGGCGTCCATACGCCCAACTTCTTGCACGTCCGCCAAGACATGACATGGCGAACGCAACCTTCGACAACGGGTCGACGATACGTCGAGCCGCAATGGCTGCCGACATAGTTGCTCACATTGAGCTTCAGCGATTGCGCGCGTGGTGTCGTCCCGGACGGCACCGCGGTAGTAGCAGCAACATCGCGTTGCTCCTTTAGGATGAAACCCAGAGCAACACCGTGTTGCTCTGTCGGCGTTAGCGTACGCAGCATCGTAGCTACCGCCGCCTCACCAATGACTGTTGACAGTCGTTGGAGGGCTTCCCACTCTGGATCCGACAGGTGGGGACAGTCAGCGCGTGCAACGTGAGTTGCAGGCGTAGTGGAGCTTTCCATGGGCACCTCTGTATCCATGGGAAGGTTCTCAGCTCCGCGTTCGTGCGGTGACGTACGAACTTAGGTAGTCAGTCGTTCGTTGGACGGACTACAAAGTGCTACCAGGTGTAATGGGCCTACCTTGGCTCACTACTACGGCTTACACGTATGCGCACGTGTATGAGGAAGCGTAGGTTTCTTTTACTTGAGTTAAGTATGCTCGAGATCCACGAGTATACTTTAAACAAGATAAAGACTCCAAGTAGCGGGTTTTGGTAAAAGATGAGAACTGCTATTTTTGTTTTATGTTTCTGACTTCCTCTAAATGTAATATTCTAAACTAGGAATCTGCCAACGGCTGGTTGGCAGGATTCTGCTAACATGCAAGTCACTCATTGGCTAAAAGATGCTGGACCACCCGTCGTGGTGATCGTAAATGTATGTAGTCTTTGGTGTGTCTACACCAAGGTCGAGAAAGTCTTTCGAACCTCTAACAGAGATCGCATCTGTTAGAGTAACAAGTGACTGTAGCCACTTGTGCGTGTAACCCTGTGACAGTTGTGGTCTTTGTTGACCGCTTCAGCAAGATGGTACATCTTGCTGCGGTACCCGCTGAAGTGACTGTGAAACAGACGGCGCGCCTGTTCGTTGACATGGTGTTCAAAGCAAACACCATGGCATGCCGATCGACATTGTGTCGGATCGAGACCCACGCTTCACGGCACACCTTTGGCAAGAAGTGTTTACACTTCTTGGGAGTCAACTTTCGATGTCGACTGCGGACCATCCGCAGACGGACGGGCAGACCGAGCGCGTGAACCGCGTGCTTGTAGACGTGCTTAAGAGCTACGCTCACTCGTTCCAACACTGGAGCGAGTGCCTGCCGATGGCGGAGCTCGCCATCAACAACTCGGTGCATGCCTCGACCGGGCATACACCGCTCTACGTGAATGCCATCAGGCACCCACGCCTCCCGAGTCTCCTCGGGATGATGGCTCCATCCTTGAGTGGGGGAGGATCTACGACTGCAACGCAGCAGCCGCAGAATGCCGCTGACACTTGCACAGTGTCAGCAGCGACTACACGCAAGAAGAAGAAGAAGAACGTGTCTGTGCGGGGCACAGACGCCGAAAAGAGCAAGAAGAAGACGAAGAAGGTGTCTGTGCAGGGCACAGACACCACGAAGACGAACTCAGAGGCCGGGCCTACTGCTGGAAGCGAGCTGAACGAGTTCAGTTCGGGCGCAATTCGCTTCGTACAGCGCAGACAAGCCGTCATTCGGTTCGGCCAAGACGCTATGGCAGCTTCTGTCGGTCGACAGAAGCTGAACACAGACAATGTTGGCAGGGGCAACACTAATGTATTCGAGAAGGGTTCATTAGTCTTGTTAGCTACTCAAAACTTGCCTAAACATGCCGATTCCGACTTCGGGGCAAGCAAGCTTGCTCCGCTCTTTATCGGGCCGTTCCCTGTGCTGGCAAGGCACGGCAACGCCTACACACTGGACATACCGTCTAGTATGCGTCTCCATCCAACGTACTACGTCGGAAGGCTGAAGCCATACCTGCAGCACGAGCTACCTAGCTCTGCTGAACCGAAGCAGAAGCCCCAGCGGGAGCGAACCTCTGCTCCAGCGCATGAACGCGCTGGGCCAAGCGCGAGACGCGACCTCCCACGTCGACAGAGATGTCCTACGCGGTCTGCGAATCCTGAGCGACTTGAGCCCTCAGGATCGCCACCTCCTGTTTCAGCGCGGCGAACTCCCGGCTCTGATGCTGTTCCACAGCAGCGACCCGCTCCTCGAGCGTCGGGCCAAGGTCAACCCCAGGTTGACCATACCCGGGGCGTGTTCCCACCACCGCCGCCTCCAATCCGCGACGCCCGCGGCTCAACACGCTGGATTGTTGAGCGTATTGTGAACCATAGTATCCCGAAAACGAACCGGCAGCCGGTTCGTTATCGTATTCGTTGATAGTCTCGACCCGGCATGCGGGCCGAGACTATCGCTGTCGATAGACTCCTTGCGCTTGCTAGAAGAGGCCTCGCCCTCTTCCACCTCCACGTCGCCGTCTCCGTAGTCAACAGCGTCGTTGACTACAGAGGAACTTCGAGAACAATCTCCGGTTGAGTTGTCCCCGCAGCAGCCTTGGCAGCAAGAGCGTCACGCTTTGCGTTGAGACGCTTGCGGTACTTGGGGATAGAGAGAGTCTCTATCCCGGGGGAGGTGTTCCCCTCTGCTTCAGCGGCGGTCTTCTTCGGCGAGCTCATTGCGGAATGAGCTCGAGTTTTCTTTCTCCCAACGTGAAGAATTGACGACTGGTCAATTTCCTGATTGACGTGCCGTGACTCGGCGCATCTAACCTTGAAGGGGGGGATGGTGTAACAGGGTTACACGCACAAGTGGCTACAGTCACTTGTAACTCTAACAGACACGACGTCTGTTAGAGGTTCGAAAGACTTTCTCGACCTTGGTGTAGACACACCAAAGACTACATACATTTACGATCACCATGACGGGTGGTCCATAGAGACTTGAGGGATACGTAGTGTCAGAATGACGAATTAATGTACCGAAAGCTTGAACCTCAACTAAAAATTCGATCTGGTGTCCATACCCGTGAATATGAATTAAAAACCGCACCGAGCATTTACATCAATAGCCCCGTGCCACATGTGAGGAAGCCCCAAGATACATGAGAGTGTTTGCTGCACCCGACTGGCACATCCCACCCTTTCAATCATTTTCGTGTTGCTGTACCGCACAGGTATACATACCAAGTATACCCCTGCACACCACCCATTTCAGTCGCCATTCAAGATTTCGACAGCTCGAGCATAAGGCTCCGTCGCATCGATATAAGCGTTGGGCGAAGCATTGCTGAAGGTAATGCAAACGAACCGGGTGTTATGAGGGATGTCAGAACGTCGGAGTGCGAACTTCACACCGCGCCTCTCTTCGCAGCGCGAAGAGAGGCACCACCAGGGAGGACAAGTCGTCGAGAGCCTTGCGGGCAGCAGCGCCTGTGGGAATTGCTACGCGGACGGCTACACCGCGCAGTGCTGATAAACAGGACATGCTCCCTGTGCGGCTGGCCAAGGCGTCACAAGACGCGCTTACCTCAAGGACGCCGCTGCGCTCGGGACGTGTGTGAGTGGGTTCCGACTGACGAAACCCGACTGAGCGTGGTGTGTGCTTTTTTCTTCTTCTTTATAGTGCTTAGCGGTTCATGTTTGATAGTAATAATGAACCTTTTCAACCGTTATAGAAAATCGTTGTGTAAACCGGCGTTGATAGGAGTGCTGCAGTGCCCACGTGGGTAGGGCGCTTGCAATTAATAGGGTAGCATGGTGCGCGTAGCTGTTCTATTGTGCTTCAGACTTTAGATACACACTTGACGGCAATGCACACATTACTACGTGTAGTGCAGTGATCCTTTGGCTCACAAGTTCTGATTGCATACTGCTGCGTTCACACACACCGACTGAGGCAGCCCGACTGAGTCCAGTACCCGACTGAGGCGGCCCGACTGAGTCGAGTACCCGACTGACCCGACCGAGTGAGTCGGTCTTTTATAAGGTGGTTTACACAACTTTTGCTGTCCAGCTATGCACTAGCTAATGTATAGCCAAACGCTGGCACATTTGTGCTAGGAATCAATGAGCAAGGACGAGACGATTTCCTTCTGCCCTGGCCAATCAATGCTTGGCAGGATACGTGTGCTGCGGGAGCGGTGGATTACCATCTCCAAGGCGCCCGAATCTCGCTATTGCGGCGTTAGTCCAGGAGACGACAGGTATCTAGGATAGCGCTTTGAACTAATAATGTCATTGAGGTCATTGTGCACTTATTCGCATGCTACCATCTCATCAATAGCATAGGGAAATTATGTGGCATTGCGGCGACGTTGTGCCTTCATCTCGTGCGAAAACAAAATGAACACGTGGCCAGCACACTAATCACTACAGAACCCACTTGGGCAAGCGGTACTGTAGCACACGTTCTGAAAATGCTTGGTCCAAGCTAGAAACCCTAGCCCGGGAAACACTAAGAACGTGTGCTGGCACCTGAACAAGGGCTCTATTTTCAGTCGGGTTGAGTCGGTGTAGTCGGGTGTCATTGAACCCCAGTCGGGTGCAGCTGCCTCATCGCATGATTCCCAGTCGGGTGCAGCAACAAGTGCCAAGATACATCACTGCTCGTGGGAAACTGGGACATTTTTTGGTCTTACCGTACTGTACAGTACAATATCTCGATCGGGTGATCGTGATGGTGTGTAGATCCGGAATGCAGACCCTACTAGCAAGGCCTCCGAATATGGCATTTTTATTTAGTAGGTTGGGCGTTGCTGAATAAATTATCCCCTGACGCTCCTACCAATACAACAGTACATTATGGCATTGCCCCCAACGTACCACAATAAATAATGCCATTATGAAAAGCATGAAGTCTATTAACAAGACACCAGTTAGCTTATCATCTAGCTCAAATTGTCCACAGTCGTTGCATCCCAGTACGACCGATTCTGGCGGAGAAACAAAATCGTCTCAAGCGTGCGTGGCAGCAGGCCGTGTCGTTGATGACCAAACGTCACCCGAGCAATGCTGAAGAAGCGTTCCACCACGTTCGACGTGGGTGGGATGCTCTTCAGCTGCTCATACTTGACACGGTCCTGTGCAAGCCGCCGGCGCTTCCGAAGACGCTCCACGAACGACGCGGTTGGATCCTCCTCCACTTCACTCGCGGCCGCGTCGTCCGGTCTGGCAGCTTTGAAGGGCTGCAAAGCGGCCTTTTCAGCACGCGTCAGCCGCTGCGCCTACCCGCGGAGAACGCGTACACACCCAGCCTCGAAATCTGGGCTGTGCACAATGTTGGCCCGAGGCCCTGCAAAATAAAAACCATTATACAATTGTTAGTGAAAATATTAAACACAAATTCAACAGTTATAAACTTACCAATGTAGCGCCCATATTGTGGCTTGACAGCGATTAGCTCGTCGAACCACTCGCGAACGTCCAGCAGGTCGACGTCGTGGCCTTGAAGGGCCTTCGAGACCGACTCGATGTCGCACAGCTCCTGGTACAATGCCCGCAGTCGCTTGTTCATCGCCGGCGGCGGCAGCAGGTCCATGAGGTCGTCGTCTTCGGCGTCAAGAAACTCGAGGAGCTGGAGGTAGCGCCGTACCATCTCGAACGTAGAGCTCCAGCGCGTGTCCTGGCGAATGACAGGCCGAAGTGGCGTTTTCAACCTATTTTGTAAAAAATTACAAAAGTACACAAATTGTGTTAGAGACATATTGACACACCACACATACACATTGGCGCTTACCGTAGTTTGGCAGATTGGGTGAGAGTACGCAATTTTACCATGAGCGCCTGCACAACAACCAGGTCCTCCTCATGCGACGCCATGTCCGCCTGAACAGCAAGGTTCAGGCGGTGGCTTGCGCAACCAACAAGCGGCACACTCATAAGAGTTGCCAGCCGCCGGTTTACGGCGCAGTTGTCAGCTACGAGGAAGCGACACTGCGCCAGCTGTACGCCGTAATCGCGCGGCAGCGTGGTCGCTAGAAACTCGAGATGGCCCTGCGCGGAGAGATCGTCGTCCTGCGCGTCCAGCAGCGGGGCCATGCTGAGTAGCGTTGTCTTGGGACAGCCGTTCACCTCATAGCACGCGAACACGGCGATGTAGTGCTCAGATGCGTGTGTCCAGCCGTCGAGCATGATGCCGAAGCGTGCTGGGAGCTCCGACGCAATCGAACGCTCGACGGCGACGACGACCCCGTCCATGCCAGCCCGCAGCGTTTCCTCCGAGATGGGGTCCAGGCTGGAGTAGCTGAATAACATCCATAAAGTAAAGTTGTTAGTTTCCGTAGTAATGTAAACACAATGACCTTATGCATACACGTACCGCCGAGCTTCTCGGCTCTCACAAAAAGGGAGTGGCAGGTCGCACATGACAATCCAAACCATCCAGCCGTGGAGGTTGAGCGCCGAGTGGCGGACGAAGTTCACGAGGGAGCCTGTCTCCGCCGTCGTAGCGTCGAGCATGACGGTCTCGTAGTCAGGGTGCTCCCCCCTGATATGTTGCATCAGGTTGGAGTACCCGTCCCTATGGGTTTGCTTCCGAACCGTGCCGCAACGGCAACGGAAATACTCGAGAATCACCTCGTCGTTCTCGTCGCGACACGGGCGGAAGTAAAACCCCGAGACTTGGGAGTTCGTGTAGGCAGGGCGAGGGGGGCGGATAGCGCGAACCATGCTGGATGAGGTCTTGAAGGCTTGAGAAGTGAAAATTGAAAAGTGAGCGCTGTCAAATGAGCTGCAACTAGCAACGCAGACAACCAGTGATTCCAGTTCTTCTGAACGACTGGAAGCGAGAAGATGGCTGGTAAAACGCTAACATTATTATATAAAGGTAACTGTCATAAATTATGTAATATCACAAAGCACATCAATAAATTATCACGGTAGATGGCTGAACCCGCCGAAATGCGTAATTTATTGTTATTTTCTGAAATAATGTTATTGACAATGCTATTTTCGGAGGCCCTGCCTACTAGAGTTAGTCTCCCCCGTACCCATGGATTGTTCAACAGCCAGTGGATCCGAAGCAACCACCAGATCGCCTTCCACTTCGCAAGTTGCATCCAAGAGCCCAAGTCATCCTTCGACCTACACTACCAGCCCCATCAACAATGCGCCTGTACTGTACTCCATCCTCTTGGCGATTTCAGCTGTTCTCTGTGCAGGTTGCGATGCTGCTTCAGCGGAAACCGAGGCTACCACCACGCAAGCGGCTAGCACGCACCGTGCTCAGCCTGTGCATCTCGACATCCCAAGCTACAGGCACCTGAGGGCCGCAGAGACGGCCGCTGCGAAAGTCGAAGATGAAGAGGAGGAGCGGATGTTTGAGCATCTGACGAAGCTGCTGCATCCCACAGGAGCTTCCCGTCCGAGGTTTGTGGGTAAAGTGACTGAGCAAGACGGAACGTTCACCGTGCCCTACGTGAACTTCCTCCTGAAGAAGGAGAACAAGGATGTACGGCTCAAGCTTTTCGAGGACCACGCTAAGTGGGACGAAGAAGGTAAAGAGTTGATCAAGGCACTTGGGAAAACGGAGGAGGGGGTCAGACTGTTCCGCAAGTACGAAAAATTTATTGGGCTAAACAGACGCAAAGTAAATGGCCAAGGTAGGCGAAGTTTACACAAGATAAATGATACCTTCGCTTACTGCCAATGCCTTTCGCATTGCTTCCAAAGAGCGACACAAGCCCCCACGTACGGAATGCACTGCTTCCAAGTAAGTCTTTAGACCAGCTAAGCTATAATCTAACGACGATTGCTGAGCGGTGGCAGACGTAGAATTTTTCATCCCGGCGACAAAGAATTGTGTAAGACCGCTGTAAATGTACTTCAACGGGTACGTCGCTCCTTTCTCGCCCGCCGCCACCAACTTGATGGGGAAATCTGACGAGGTGTTTGGCAGCGTGTTGCCTCCAGCTCTGAACGCGAGTGTGATGACGCAGTATGGGGAGATGACAACCGGCACGAGTGGCCGTGATATAGCCAAGATGATGATATACTGCCATGCGAAGGACGAAGTTCGTCGTGACAATGAAGCTCGTGGGCCGAGCTGTGGAAGAGAAGGTGAAGGAGTGTAAGCGATAGCTCAAGCTGAAAAACTGTACAACAAAAAGTGAAGTGCGTAGAGGCAGGCGAGCATGTCCACTAGGACTACACGAACACTTAGTCCAAGAAGTTCATGCTAGTTGTGTACCATCCGCAGTGCAGTGAGCGCAGCGCAGCGAAAGAAATAAGTATTTTCCTGATAAAGGAAGACACTTAGCTTCAAGACCAGCTCAATCAACAAGCTCGGTAACCGACACGTCTCAAAGAGGCTACTGCAGGAGTTGAAACCAGACGTTCGTCAGTCGGAGAACTGCCGAGCAGTTGTGGTTCGTTCTTGGTTCGGCCTCACGTCCAAGCGAACTCTTTGATTATCAACACCACCTCGCGCTTCTCGAGCGCAAGCTTGCGTCACCCAAAACGGTAGTTAGCAAGCTGACAGAAGATGTGTAGGCTTCTGACAGACGGACATTGGCTTAGTCGTTAGGTTTCCGAAATGACTGTAATGTACCTCACCAAAAACTAAAGCTTGCGTCACCCAAGAAGAATTTGAAGCGGCACTATCAACTCCGAGTTGACGGCGACATCGCCCAGTGGGCGACGCCCACCGGTACGCATGCAGCTAGTGAGACCAAACGACGGTCTGTTGAACCCCAAAGGCGAGCACCGGCGCCTGTGTAGACGTGCCCCTGCCGGGACACTCAGTTTTCTTCATGTGGAGCATCTCGCTTACCCGGCAAGATCATGTCTCCCAATCTTCTACGTCAAGATCGGCAACGCAGACTGGTTGAAGGCACATCCACCGATGGGTCAAGACACGCACGATTGGTGTGACTGGATGCAACGATACCGACAATATCTTGAACTTACTCATTTCGGACCTTCGAAGGTTGCCTACACTAGGCTAGCTACGGCAGAAGGTCGTCGCACTCGCTCGTCACGACAAACCCTGGGTGTATCACGTATCCCAACAACCACTTCGACTTGGCCATGAACTGCGGACCGATACGACTCGAACCTCAACGCGTAAGTGCCTCATCCCTTGCTTCCTGCCTCACTTGTGGTTTGGGGGACTGCGGTACATTCCGTTCACGGGCCAATAAGTGTGGGGTGGCCACTCGGCAGGGATCTAATGCCTTGGCCCGTTACCAAAATGAACCACATTATCCCCCAATGCCTGTGTGATTGATATGGAAAGGTCGCTGACAGCAGCGCGGTCAGTGCATTTCGTATTGCTTCGCTCTGTGAGGCTTGTGTGTGGCTCGGCACCTGAGGGATGTTTCAGCTTCATCAATGAACACCAAAACGCCACGAGGAGACGAGTTCGCTCACTTGAAGAGAGCGTGGAATTCTGTAACTGGATCGGAGCCTAGAGGGCCCGCGGCACCACCACTTAAAATGACATAGGTCATGCCTGAAACTTGAGCTATACGCCTTTGACGACCATAGTTTTGATAGTTCCAGGGGCTTCGTGTGGCGCTATGGAGCCCTGTGCATATTGCGCGTCCTCGAAGACGGGCATCTCCAGAGCGTTGCGCAACACCACGCCGACCAGTCCAATCCTGCCCCCTGGCTGCGTTCCGACGGAACAAGCGTTGAAGAAGCCAAACGCCCCAGCCGAGCGAGAAGTACCGAGCAGGGCTGTGGAAAAAGTGATTGCGATTGTAATATTGCCGAGATTGTCAATCACAATAATTGATTGCTCCGTGATCTCAATCGGCAATCCCGTTCCCATATTGTTCCTATACTGATTTTGAGCCTTTGCCAGCGATCCGGTAGAGAAATATGCAACGTCAAGCCTATGGAAGCGATCCTAGCTCCTAAAAAACCATTATGTGCCTTCTCCTGCTTCGAAATGCGGATATGAGGGGTCATTGGATGCCTGGATGGGGTGCACGCTCAACATGATGAATATAAGACCCAACATTGCATTTGGCCAAGGTTTTTGAAGCTCAACACAAATGTAATCGCACAAGCAAAGGTCTTAGAGCGATAGCGCCGCCAAACCAGTAAAAATATGAACGTAGCAGAGGAAATACAAGCGAGAACTTAGATTGCAATCTTTTTGTTTGTGAGATTGTTGAGATTGCAATAATTGATTGTTCCAGATCTGAGCCGTCAATCAATAAACAATCTATATTTCCACAGCCCTGAGTACCGAGGTAAATTCCAGCTGCTAGAGCCACGACGTCCCCGACAAACTTGGCGAGCTTCGCTTGTCAACCAGAAGCACGGAGATGCCTTGCCCCAAATTGTCGAACGTGGACTGCAGTGCCTGCGTAAGCTGCGTTCGCTCGCTGCTGTCTGATCCGCCCCACCACGCCAACAGCCGCCCGAATTCCTCCCCAACAGAACCCGCGCGTGATCCACCGCTAGCTGCAGCTCACCCTCTCTCTCCCGCCTCGCGCGTTCACTGCGGATGTTTGTCTTCTTCGAGCTGAGCGAGATCTCGATGGCTCCGACGTACTGTGTCCTCCTGCATGCGCTTCTGCTCCAGCTCGTCCTTCTCGTTCTCCACCTACAGCTCTTCGACCTTCTGCCGCTGTACTACCGTCCTGTTAAGCTCGTAGATTGCGGAGAAGCTGCTGCTGCCAAGTTGTGTACGTTGACTGCGATCTTGCCTTGTCCGTTGCGGTCGAATACATCCCGTTCCGGTAGTATTTGCTCCGCTTCGGGAGCCACTGTGCGGAACTCGGAGCCGAGAACGCCCTGATGCGTAGTACTAAGTAAGCGCTTGAGTGTCAGCTTGCTCAGTAGCTTCAGGGTGTCCAAGTGTACGGACCTGCCGATGCTGGCGACGACAACGCTGCGATTGCCAAGCAGACGAGTAAAACGAGTGGCGCCCAGGAGAACGGATGGCGCTGCATTCGTCCAGGTAGAACCGGCATGGCACCAATAGCGTTCGCCCTAACCCTACGTTCTAGTTTTGTTCTACTTATTTATGCTTGGGTTCTACCGTTTTGGGGATCAGCTTAGACAGGTTTAAGGCTCCGTAACCCCGACGAGCTAGTCATCGTAATCGCGATCTTGATGAACATGTCGATGGAGCTCGATAGGAGTGGAGGAAAACAAGTTGAGTAAGAACATTTTAGTATATGCCTCGCAGCAGCAACTTCGCCCTTTCCACTCTACCCTTCGCCGCCATGCCGTACGCGCGTATCACCAGCAAAGTCTCCAAGTCCAGCGTGGACACTGTCGCCGCTAGCACCGCCGTTGCCAAGACGCTGAATGAGCAGTGGGGCGTCCCCGCGGCCTTCATGATGGTGCAGCTGGAACTTGAGGCCCCGATGCTTCTGCAGCTGAACGACGAGGTACGTACAGTGCACCGACCCACCCACGAGTTGGTTTGATAGCGGGTACTGTATGCGAATACTAACCTTGTTGTTTTCTGGCAGCCGGCGGCCTACGTGCACGCACGCACGATTGGACTCACCTCGGACCAGAAACCGAAGACCCTTGCGGCGCTGACCGAGACTGTGTCCGAGCAGCTGAAGGTGCCAGCGGAGCGCGTGTACGTCGTCCTGGAGGACATCAAGGTCGGCAACTGGGGCGCCAACGGCACGACTGTCATCCCTCCCGCCAAGAAGTAGGTCACTTTACTCGCATCTCCCAGTACTAGATGTACCGAGCAGACCGAAATAACGCTTTGCACAGCAACGCACCGTTCAGAAGTTACCGGTACATGCATTTACTCTGCTTGCCCCCTTCTGTCACCATCGAGGATGAAATGCCGCATCAAAACTCGGTCTCCATAATCAAATTAACCGCATAAACATCCGTCACGCCTGCTGCAGCCTGCAGCGTCTGAGGTAAGGGACCCTCGTGTTCTGGTCCGAGGCATCTTTGGGCACCACGTGAGAAAGTATTTTCAATTCGCCCACGTACCCGTAAAGTTACCGAGATGGCTCAAGGAGCGAGAACTGAGGAGACCGACGCAGCGCTGGCCGACGTGTTCTCTTTCTTCGACTCTCTCCACAGCGACAGCGACTCGAGCTTGACCGACATTATCTCAACGGACGAAGACTTGAGCTTGGCGGACATCACGTCAACTGACGGGGACTTGAGCGCAGTGTCTTCTCCGCTTGAACCTGGGGCTTCATCACCGTCTCATGAACCTTCAGCGCCGAGCAAAAGCTCTCGCAAGAAACGCAAGCCGAGGCTCCCGGGTCAAGTCCCGCAGTCGACCAAGTTCCAGCGCCAGAAGCGTGACGAAGTGCTGACACTGCGCCAGGAAGTGCTTGAGCTGACGGCGAGACTGAAGCAACTGCAGCGCACACGTCGTCATCCTGCGACTGCTTTGAACAGAGTGCAAGGTCCTCAAAAGCCCAGCGCGTTTGTGTCCGTATGGGAAGATCTAGCGATCCTCCAGTGTCAAGAGCGACAACAATCAGAGAAGACCAACCAAGAACTCAAGACGATTTTGGCTCGGCAGCGGAGGCTGGGTCGGTCGATATACAAGCTACTGGGGAAGAAGGACGCATTGGAGGTTCGTTCTACAGTTCTACCTTTTCTATCGTACAAGGTTTTGTAACGTGATTTTTTTTTTCCAGGGGATGAAGTTGCTGTGTCGTCTTCAGCCAACACCTGGCATTATGAGTAGCAGTCCAAGTGTGCAGATCGATCTAAGTGACGCAGTTCTGGCTGAGCTGGAAGCAACAGTGGCAGGACTATACATGCGTATAAACTCCTTGTTCCCGCCACTCGAGGGCCAACCCGTGGTATCATTTTCCACCCAAGACAAATACGGAGATCCGCTCGGAACGTACATCGAGACGATGACAACGACTCCAATGGCATGTCCGCTGCATGTAGCTGCCGAATTTGTGTGGAAAGGCACGAGCAAAGAGTCCCAAGACCCTGAGAAGGTGCCGATTTTCGTAAGTGTTCGGCTTGATTAACAGTCGTCGTAACTTTTTTTAACAGCATCAGACTAACCGTGAATTGTTTCGTTAGATAAGTGTTTCAATTCTCTCTCTAGAAGCTGCAAACTCGACATGCACAGCACTGTGCGTATAGACGGCGTGAACTTTGTGCGCCGATACATCCAATCGGACCGCATTGTGCTGGTTAGTGCGGCGACGTGGTTTCTACCTGCCGAAGGATTCCACTTCCAAGACAACATCTGGACAATCGTGACGCGATCGGCTGTGGATCCCCAAAATGCGTCTGTCGTGCGGAGCTTTTGCCAGTTTGGAGCTCACGCGTCGAAGATTTCATCGATGCCAAAGGAAGCTTTTGCTTCTGCGCAGGAATACGTACGAGGTACGATCGGCGCGAAGCTTCGGCGCATCCAAGAGATGCAACAGAAGTTTCTGCTCCAACACGTCTCACTTCCGGTTGGAGCATTTTGACTACTGTCCGTCCGTCACAAAATCGTCACGCTTATTCACTAAGTACGAATTACACTAAGTACGAGTAGCTGCCGAGCGCAGCCGAAGGCGACCCCACCGTAACCCGCCCCGGCCTCTGTAATACTAATCTAACATTGAGAGTAGTGCAGCGAGCCGACGAGGCGAGCGGAACGGGTCCGCCACTGCCGTAGCGAAGCGTAGGCAGTCTGCTCCAATAGCGCAGCGAGCATTGCGAGCGAAGCGCCAACTAACAAAAAATTCACCGCCGCGTAGCGGCAGCGCCCGGCTAGTCCTAAGAATCAATCAGAACGACGCTGTCCGTCGGTCACAGAAATCGTCACGCTTATTCGCTAAGTACGATTCTCACTAAGTTCGATTAGCTGCCGAGTGTAGCGAAGGCGGCCCCCAGTAATGGCACAAACAACCTTTTGCTGCCGAGCGTAGCGAAGGCAGACCCCCCCCTCCCCTTGCGATCTAGCGGGACCGCAGTGCCTGCCCAATACTATTAACTAATAACACTGCGAGTAGTGCAGCGAGCCGACGAGGCGAGCGTCGTCGGGAACGGGGGCGATAAGATCACCCCCGTTCGGATCACCGCGTTATAGCAAAGCGATAGGTAGCTGGGCCTGCCCTACTACTTAGTATAATGGTAAGGTAGCGAGGTTGGTTCATATAAACCCATTGTAAGCCATAGCAGCGCATAGTTAGTTATAGCAGCACGTAGTCAGCGATAGGAGCGCATAGTTAAGCGCTAGCAGCACGTAGTGAGCGGCATGCACGTATAGTTAGCGAAAGCAGCACGCAGAAAGTGATAGGAGCACGTAGTAAGTGATAGCAGCAACGTTGTAAGTGGTAGCAGTGCGAGTACATGTAGCGCAAGGTGAGCTGAAGGTGGTTAAGTATTAACAAGGAGCCGAGCTTATTTCACTATAGTAAAACTACAAGGACAAATTAACTACAACTACCGCGTACTTGGCTCTCAACGCGATAAACATCCTTCGAAGTATCTGCTATTGCTAAAAGGGGTTCATGTGTGTGTGAATAAGGTGTATTTAGGTTACTTACACTACGCTGGTATTTATTCTTTCTACCGCGCCATGCTGAACCTGAACTCCCTTCCGTTCTCTGTATAGCATTGGAGATCGGGATACAGGCTAAAGGCTAAAAGTGGTTCATGCATCGATAGCGTATGTTATGTGTTGGTATGTAGTATAATGAGATCTGAATAGTAGACGCTGACATTCAATGAGCTGGAGTTCTATGATAGATAACCTTGGACGCGCTCTACCTGTATGCTAAACGCTGGAAACGGAACTTGCATAGTGCAACGTGTACTTCATAGATACGAAATGCAAAGTTGTTACTTTCAATGTCTTAGCGGCTGTGGTGCAGGTGGTGCGCTAATGTGCTTATGTACTCCGCTTAGACTAATACTTAAACAAAAATAAGTTTTGATGAGGCCACATTATCGCAGCCCGAAGTTGAATACATTTATGGATCATATAAATGCCGAAACGATCCCGATATGTATATGTACACGATGTTTAATAAGAAAAGGAGAGGCATTGCGAAGCGTGAATTGTTATTTAGGCTTATAGCCTTGATACAGAATGTAAAGGCTATACTCTTGGACCAACTAACAGAAACCATGGCAGAGTGATACACTTGGTAAAATAACACGTATACAGACTTATGAGAGCACATGAAACACGAGCTGTTCTAAATCAGATACTTTGTAGTTTGGATTGAATACCTGCGACGATGTTGGACATGGTTTACAACACAGTACCGTGCAATAGAAAATATATTATCTTGCAAGTGCATCTACTTATAGTAACACTGACGTGATGAAGCTGATACCAGCCACTTTTAACCATACTAAGAGTACTCCCAACATACAAACACCTTCTTACGTGCATACAATCCAAATTAATGACATTTGACTGGAAAACAGCCCACCGGAGCGAAGTGGAGGTGGGCGGCCCTCACTACTACGACTACCCTAAACTTATCGCCGCGTAGCGGCGGCGCTCGGCTAGTTGTTGGAAAATGTAGGCCACGCGGGAATTGAACTCACAACATACCTGTAGAACATAACTCGTTAGACCGTTACACCATACAGGCGCCCCGGTCGTCGTCTCTTCGGGCTGGGACTTGACACTGCCTGATTGCATATTCCAACACTAATAAGTTTTACGAAGACAATTGGCACATCATGTGTAACGTGGTTTACCAATTCATGACCCGCCAGCAGCACCTCATGCGAAATCGTCGATGACGACACCAATATTAGAGCAGCGATGCTACAACGCTAGCATTTATACAAGCAGTCGGTACGTTTAATTTTGAAGGTCCTCGCACCAATTTATGAGCAAATATGAGCAAGCAACAGCGAAGCAAACAAAGCGGATTTTTTTTTTTTTATGACGCGCTGACCAGATGTTGGACCGACGCGATCCCATACAAAGTCTCATATCAAACTCAAACCGCCGCGCTCTCGATGATGAACAGCGGCTCCACTGCAGGCACTTCGGCGCCATTGTTGTCACGCGCTTGGAGTGCAGCTCCTGCACCATGGCTTGTCGGACCAGACGACGCTGCATTGCAGCGATCCATGTCACTAGATCGGCTTCACACTCGGGAGGCAGCAGGGGGGCAGGTCCGGGCCGTTGGCACTCAATTGATCGACCTTCGATGCGCGCGGCGACTTTGCGCTTTAGTGTTGACAACGACACTGGTGACGAGTCGGCCACGGCTGCGAGCTTCTCTCCTGCGAGGACGCGGTCGATAGCTTCTTCTAGCTGCTTGTCTGTGAAGGCCGCCTTTATCTTACGCTCGACTCGATATCTGACGGGATCAGCGTAAGGAAAAGTGAGGGCCGAGATCTGGTTAAAAAATATTGAGCCAATCAGAGCAATATTAGTCCAAATAAGAAGATTGGATTGGATAATAGTCGCTTTAGTCCATGAACTGGTCAGAGGTCATGAATTGGTAAACCACGTTATGCGAGAAGTGTCCAGAAACATTACGCTAGGAATGTGCTGTAAAGTATCGTTCTTGTATGACAAATCAAGATTCTCCTCCCTGATGTGTTTTCTCGTCATCTAGAATGCCGTTAGTCTCAAGCTCCGTGGGCTTGTGCTCATCAATGTTCCTGTCGATTGCCCAAATTGGGACATCAACACAGAAGAAGTATAAATCTGAGGTGGCTTTGGTTGTTTATTCTGCGCGTCATAAAGCTGCTAACACAACAACATACAGAGGATTGAGCAAGCGTGGACAAAACTACTTACTTAAGTACTCCATACCAGGTCCCATCCGGAATGTCTTCACGCCATCTCTTCTCTCACTTTTACAGAGCACAATAGAATGGCGGGTCATCAACAAAATAATGCCGGCTTCTTATGCATTCTTCGAATACGTTAACCTTTCCGCCATTATCACTATAGTCCAACCTAAAGCCTTGACAACGACCAACTACAGAAGCATAACCCCACTTTTAAATTCGAGCCCCAGCCTCTCATTATGCCGTCTGTCAGCTGTATCGCGTCGTTTTCCTTCGGCGCTACGCTCTAGCGGTAGCTGCACCGTGCACTTTGGCGTCCGTGCAGCCTGCACGGACGCCAAAGTGCCCAACGGAGACAGTAAGTTGTTGTACGCAGCGTGGGGGGACTTGAAAACGTACAGCCCAGGCGTCACCACCTACGACTGTGGCTACAACATCATTGGGATGCAGGCGGCTGCAGAGCTCGGAAAAATAATTATTTTATTTTATTGAGGGAGTCAACTCGCGCCAATAAATTATTGGACAATAAACTATTGATCATCATGTAAACCACTAATCAGCTACCTCCGCTCGTTATACGACCACTACACGTGATTTCTAGTCAGTCTTGAGTGCGTCCGCTACAAGCTCAGCGTCCCAAAGCTTCCATTGAACTCCAGCATGCTCTCTCTCTACGAACGTGTGAGAGCTCGTCCACAGCAGTAGTAACGAACGAGTCGAGGGTTCTTGGACGCACTGCTCGGATCTCGTTCTTCGAGAGGGTCGAGAGGGTGTAGTCTTGTGGTCACGTCGGAGGTGGTCGGTCGTGTTGGTGTAGCAACCAGAGGATGGAAATACGTTGATTTGGTGTAAGAGGACGACAGCTTGCGCGTCTTCAAGCACAGTCAGCCCTTGTAGCGGCCGTTTAGCAGCTTCGAGCAGAGGTTTCTGGTGTGTTGCTTCGGCGTCGGGGACATGGTAGATTTTGAAATGATAGCGAGAAGAGGAGAATTACTTGAACGCGGATAGCTCGGATGCCCCGAGGCTTCTAGAAGCCATAAACGTTCTAGAATCTGAGAAATACTGATTATTAGGGTCGACCACAACAATTTTTTTCAGTTATTTTATTGCCCAACTTTTTATTTTATTTACTGATTCCGAGCTCTGCTCGGCTGCCACTGGAGCAAGGCGGGGGCCAGTTACGGCATCAAGCTCCAGTCGGCCACTGACTACCACTTCAGTGTGCGAGGTGCTCACTACAGTTGTCCAAGACGTGCATCGTGCGGTTATGTAGTATGGACTATATCTTTACTGGTTTCGAGGTTTACATCACGTCGAAGATTCGACCGAATCCAAATGTACTGCAGTCACCGGTGAAAGCTACGCAGGCAACGGTTTCGAAAAAAACTAGGGTGCAGATAATTCGCTGCTTTTTTAGGAGCCCCAACCTGCAGATGACGGGTTAGCACCTGCGGGACCGGTCGTTGTAGTCGTTACGAAGAACTAAGTGACTACAATGTACCTCAATTAAAAAAAAAATCGTTGCTTTTTCGCGCTCGTGCGCTAACTCGCCAACGTGGGGCGAAACGAATACGGCGTTACTACACTGCACATTGAGCAACTCGAAACTTGCAGAAGTTTCTTCAATTGATTTCCTGATCCTTTTTAGACTGTATTATGCTTGTAGAAAAAAAAACTAAACAAAAAATCAAAAATCAAACCTACCACGAAGAAAGTGCCTTTGCTGCTTAGAGTTGAACCTGTGGTGCTATGAAATGCCAATCGCTGCTCTGTTAGACGTTGGTTGCTGAGACTTTGGGCAGGATATACATGTATAGGTGGAGTCCATAATCAGCCACGAATCGTAAACGGTTCGTATGAAAATTCCATACTACCCTCGTAATCAAGAGCTCACCACAAGCTCAGTGTATGGAAGCAACAGAGCTTCCTGCGCATTATCAATTTCCTATTTGCGTCCTCACAACAACACTTCACCACCCCCACTCCCCCCCCCCCCCCCCCCCACAGAACAAGATGCCGTACGCCTCCATCACCAGCAACGTCCTCAGGTCCAGCGTCGACAAGGCTGCTGCCAGCGCCGCGATTGCCAAGACCCTCGAGGAATCGTCCGGTTTCCCGGCTGCCTTCATGATGGTGGAGCTGAACCTGGAAGTGCCTGTGCTTCTGCAGCTCAACGATGAGGTGGGTCTCCGCGAATTAACTCCATGACACCGACAAATACACTAACGACGCTTCTGTTCTTCTGGTCAGCCAGCAGCATATGTGCACGCTCGCTGCATCGGTCGCATCGACTCTGAGCGCAACCCCAAGACCATCGCGGCTCTCACCAAGACGGTTTCCGAGCAGCTCAAGGTGCCCGCGGAACGGATTTACGTCGTGCTGGAGGACATCAAGGTTGGCAACTGGGGTGCGGCCGGCACGACGGTCGTCCCTCCTACGAACTAAGCAGGCTCACAACACCACGCGCTAAGCATTAGCCTTAGATGCCTCTAGCCCTAAGGAGTAACAACCATTGTTCTTCTTTTTCCTTAGCTTTGTCTGCATGCGATTTGTAACTCACGTTTTAGGGCCCCTGCCCTGTATTTATCGACCTCGTGGGTGGCGAGTACGACCCACCTGACCTCTTTGCACTAATTTTCAGACTCTCCCACCAGCAGAGGGCCCCCTGCCTAGTGACGCTTCTTGGCACAGGTTAGGCCCCGGTCTTCAGTAGGCGTTAGCGATCGTATTAGCTAAGTGACAACAATGGATCCTCAATTCAAAAACAAACTCAAGCTCCTGCTCAGCAAATTATAGTACGAATGTTGCAAAAAACAACCGCCTGTGGTCACCAGTACTTAGCAAAAAGGTAAATTGAATAGTATTGTGTTACCGTAGCTCTACAGTGCTGCTAGATCCTGCTTTCTTGCCTACGAGAATTAGTAGCGGTTCGTGATCATCCGGCTATCCGGCTACTAGCAGTTCTAGAAGCTCTTATGTTAGCATGAGCTTTGCCGGCATGGATATGCAAGTGACAGAGACGAGGAAAGCCTGGAATCGTCCACACCGCCATGCTCAGCAAATTATAGTACGAGTGTTGCAAAAACAACCGCCATCTCAAAGAGAGCATCAGTGCGTGCACCATTTACTCAGCTTGTTCGGCCAAATCGTTGTGCATACTTACAGCAGCAGATACATACTTAGAAACGAAAGGCACTTCGCACTCTCAAAAGCATTCAGCAGACTGCGAAAATGAAGCCACCCTTTTGAGATGTACGCATTGTGCGCTCCATAATCTACTACTCTCCGTCATCTGATGACCGGCTGACAACGAAATGAGGCATCGACAACATCGTCGATTACGCTGCGCTGGCCAAAGAAGTTTTCGCAGCATAGGTACACCAACAAAATTGACCTCCTCCCCGGGAGGGCGTCAATTTTGTGGATCCCTCAGTTGTGGGGCATACAGCTTGATGTATTGACACGGCCTCCTACACGGGTGCGGCGAGGAGGCTGCCCCTGGTGATGGTGGCGATGCTGATTAGCGCTGGGGCCTGCGTTCACCATTTGCCTTGTCATCGTTGATGTGACTTGGTCGTCGATGCGAGTGTACCGCTCGAAAGCAGAGGACTTCCACCGCCCAAACAACTTGATCGTCAGACTGTCGATGCCTGCCGCAAAGAGCGCTGTAGTGCCTCCAATTCTGAAAGAGTGGGTTGAAAATCGACTTGGGTCTTGACCTGCAGAGTTAGCAGCCATCTTGATCCGCTGGTTGACGTCTCGTGTAACGGGGTTACACGAGAGCTACCCGAAGGGTTACACACTGACTAACCTAAATCAGTAGGAGAATCAGTACACGGCTTCGGACCCACTGATTATGCATATGACTAGGGTTCACTATGCTAGATAGTGAACCGGATACATTTACACCGTAAGCGGCTTGGCCGCGATAAAGGGAAATACATTCAGTTTGAGATTCACACAGTTAAGAGTTAAGGGTTGACTCTTGGAGTCCGTAAGGTGTACGGACTCGTACGTTCTGGTATTAGAACGGGCGAGCTTAAGCTGAGACTCTGCGAGTCTGTTAAGCTTCCTCTGACGCAAAGCTACGGCAGCCCAGCTGCACTTGGTAGCGCTTTTAGTCAATCCGACACCTGAGTCTGTTTTGACTGACCCTCTGTGGAGAATGGAGCAGTTCGCTCACTTGCCCCCGAACCAGCAGGATGCGCTTAAAAAGCTTATATCCTTGCTGGGCCCGGAGGGCGTGGCGCAACTTGTGCAGCAAGGCCCCGACGCGGTGAACGCGCGTCTCGAGGCGTTTTCAAGCTACGAGAATGCCCTGCTAGAGCACCTCCAGCAGAGGATGGCGACGGCCGCGGCGCCCCAAGCGCCCGCTTCGTCATCTGACGCGGGAACAAGACCCAAGCCGCTCATGTTGAGCGTGAAGGCCGTTGAAGGCAAGGAGGATGAAAGCTTGATACTTTGGACCCGAGAGGTTGATATGGCTATGAGCTCAGCTCTACTCCGGACGGATTCGCAGCGTGTGGCACTAGCTATCTCGAAGCTGTGGGCGAGCGGGAGAGTGGGCACTAACGTCTGGGACGTCGGTCGAGGTAGCCTTCTCGACGTGGCGCCAGCTGAAACAGCAATTGTCCCGAGTGTTTGCTCCGCCTAACGAGGCGTATCGCGTGCGCTCATGCTTTCTGGCGACCAGGCAGAGCACGAAGGAGTTGATGGACTATGTCCAAGAGTTGAGAACTCTTGTAACGGGCCTACTTTGGCTCACTACTTTAGCTTACACGTGTGCGCGTGTATGTGAGGAAGTGTAGCTTAGTTTAAATTAGAGTTAATTATACTCGGGCCTCCGAGTATAGATTAATCTAAATAAACGATCCAAATAATGTTTTTGGGTTAAAATGAGAACTGCTATTTTTGTTTTATGTTTCTGACTTCCTCTAAATGTAATATTCTAAGATAGGAATCTGCCAACGACTGGTTGGCAGCATTCCTACGCTATGCATGTCGCTCATTGGCTAAAAGATGCTGCTTTCAGCCAATAGGGATCCTAAGTCTCTATGTACCACCCGTCATGGTGATCGTAAATGTATGTAGTCTTTGGTGTGTCTACACCAAGGTCGAGAAAGTCTTTCGAACCTCTAACAGACGTCGTGTCTGTTAGAGTTACAAGTGACTGTAGTCACTTGTGTGTGTAACCCTGTTACAACTCTCATTGCTGGCATGTCTGCGGACCCCCTGCCGGAAGCAGTCACCGTTACGGTGTTCATGGAGGGCCTCCGCACTGGCGTTGCCAAGACGGAGGTGTTCCGAACCCACCCGAGCTCTTTTGAAGAGGCTGTGAGCGTCGCATTGAATGCGGAACACAACTTTAAGTCATCGAGAGTTGGGTGGAATGCGTCTTACGCTAGCGCGTCGATTGGTCCGGAACCCATGGACCTCAGCTATGCTGAAGACGAAGAAGCCGAGCTTCGTGCTGCTGAGCAGCGTCGCGCAATCCGCAGATGCTTCATCTGTGGTGACACCCGTCACCTTCGTGCTGGGTGTCCGCTGCGCCATCAGCACCAGGCTTCGTCAAGCCGCTCTTCGAGTTCGAGCCAGGGCTCTGGTTTGTCTCGGGGAAACGAGAAGTCCCAGTAGGCGCGGGGCGGCCTACTGGGGAAGAACTAAGTTCTATTGAGCCTCGGCGAGGTGGAGGTCGACAGGAATTAGCCCCGAAGAGAGCCGTACTCTCTGACACGGAACGTGTATGCAAGCCGGGCTTGCTAGTTGTCCAAGCTTGGGTGAAGGGCTTCACGAAGCCATGGATGATTTTGATCGATTCGGGAGCGTCGGCGTTCTACGATGGACGGAAGTCAGCTTTATGCTGAGGCGCTGGCAGCGCGCGGGAGTGACATCATCACTGTTCGTCTCGCGACGTGCACTCGTGTCACGGTGCCTAAAGTCCCTGTGGACCTGGGCGTGATGTTTTTGGATTTTGATAGCGTGGAACGCTGTCTGGTCTTAGACTCGATTCGAGATATGATCTCATCCTTGGTATGGCCTGGCTGGAACGCCACGAGGCTTGGATCGATTGGAGGTCGAAGACCCTTGGTGCTACGCACTTCTCTCCTGGCGGAGCATTGGCGAGTCATAAACCCACCTCTGCTAGGAAGCAGAAGCGCTTCTGGCGCGAGCACTGGACCGAGTCGGCCAATGTGCTGGCCATCGGAGTCTCCGAGTTGGTGGACACTAAGTGTGTCGAGAACGAGCGTTCCGAGCGTGGCCCACGGACGGCAGGTAAAGCGGCACGAATTCCGCTGAGCGGGTGAGCGTCTGAGGGCGACGCCCTGCTGCGTGCCGGTGAAGGCGCGGTCGACAGGAAGTCGAGTGAAGATGGGCGTTGCCCGGATCAAGGATGTGGAGCGGCACTAATTCCGCTGAGCGGGCGTGCGTCTGAGGGCGACGCCCTGCTGCGTGCCAGCGACGGCGCGGTGGGCACGATGCCGATGGACAAGGGGCTTTGCCCGGATGAAGATCGTGGAGTGGCACGTAATCCACTGAGTGGAGGCTGCGGATCGTGCAGCTCTTCGCTGAGTGTCGGTAAAGACACTGGAGCTCCCCCGGAGCTGAACGAGGTGGTGACACCTGGCGTCAAGACGCACGCGAAATCACGGAGCTCTTCAGGGCGGGCGGTTTCCATGAAGAGGAGGCAGCTCCGAAAAGCGCTGGTTGTGAGACGCAAGGCGTCTGCGATCTCACGAGTCGAGAAGGGCGTGTCGAGCGGCGAGGCTCCACGCGAGAGCGAGCAGCTCTATCCACTCGTAAATGGAGTGGCGGGCGACGTTGATGGAGGCATTAATCTCGACGACTTGCCCTCACTGTCTGCTCTCCTAGAGCTGGACGAGATGTCCTTGTTCTGCAGAACAACATGGCCGGATGTACGATGTACAGTGCGCTCGAATTGGTCGATGGATATTACCAGTTCCTCATGAGGACGAGCGACATTCCTCTCACTGCGGTGAGTACTCCGCGCGGCATGCTCTGGGAGTGGTTGTTGATGCCCCAAGGGCTTTCGAACGCGCCAGCGACGTTTAATCGTCTTGTGATGCAGCACTGCAGGCCCCATCGGGCATACGCGCAAACGTACTTCGATGACATCTTTGTCCACAGTCGTGCGGAGCACGGGAAGACTGATATGGAGAACCACGTGGAGCACTTGCGTGCTGTGCTCGAGTGCATGCGTCAAACAAGTTGTTCGCCAACATTGACAAATGCATCTTCGGAGCGGAAGAGATCAACTTCTTAGGGTGCTTCATCGGGAAGCGTGGCCTGAGGGCCGACCCGGTCAAGGTCAAGGCCATTGTTGACTGGCCGGTTCCCAAGAACCAGATGGTTATTCGCAAGAGGCTTGGCTTGGCCAACCACTTGCACAAGTACAGCGAGAACTACGCTGAGATGGCTCGGCCACTCTCCAATCTCCTGAAGAAGGATGCGGAGTGGTGTTGGGACACCGAGCATCAAGATGCGTTCGCGGCCATTAAGGACAGTCTCCTTCATGCGCCTATTCTGGCTTTGCCAGACCCCGCTCGTCCGTTTAGTGTCGTCTGTGACGCCTCGGACTTTGCCATCGGCTGTGCACTGTTGCAAGCAGACGCCAATGGGCGCGAGCGCGTGGTGGCGTTCGAATCTCGCCAGCTGAAGGCTGCGGAGAAGAACTATCCTGTCCATGACAAAGAGCTACTTGCGATGAAGTATGCGCTCGTCAAGTTCAGGGTGCACCTGTTGGGCTCTCAGCCGTTCGTGATTTACACGGATCATGCGTCGTTACGCACTGCGACTCAGTCGCCTCACCTCTCGCAAAGGATGGGCCGTTGACGGTCCTTCTTCGCGGAGTACAACTTCGAGGTGAAGTACAAGCCTGGCAGGCAGAATGTCCTTGCGGACACGCTGTCGCGCAGGCCGGATTATGAGCTGGCTCATGTAACGACCGTGACTTCGGCATTACCGGATCTGATCCGAACGGCTTATGCCAAGGACGACACTTGTGTCGCGTTGCTAAAGGCTCTGGGGAGCAAGGAGTTTCAAGACTCGGACATGGAATTGTCAGCGCGGCTGCGCGCGCGGCTACACCGTTATTCCCTCGATGGAGGCCTGTTGTTCTACAACACTGGCCCCAAGGATACGCCCCGCGTGGTCATCCCTCATGATGAGGATCTGAAGTACCGCATCCTCTATGAGGCACATGACACGCCGCTGACCGGCCATCTTGGCCGTGAGAAGACCTAGAGCTCGGTGAGCACCCACTACTGGTGGCTGAAGCTGTACAAGTGGACGAGCACTTATGTGCGCACGTGCGAGACGTGTCAGCGCGTGAAGTCGTCACCTCATGCTGCAGCGCCGTTGGCGAGTTTGCCTGTCCCTTCGAGCTGCTATCAATCCATGAGTACGGACTTTGTGTTTGGCCTGCCTGCGGACGCGGCGGGCAACACCAGAGTCGTGGTCTTCGTTGACCGTTTGAGGCTGTGCTGGATACCATCGATGGTAACGGTACGACAAGGCTGTTCTTGGACCGAGTGTTTCGACAACACGGACTCCCTGAGTCGATTGTCTCGGGCCGAGACCCCCGCTTCACAGGCAACTTCTGGAGCACGGTCTTTGCGGTGTTTGGCACCAAGCTGGACATGTCCACGGCGGCCATCCGCAGACCGATGGTCAGACAGAGCGCGAGTATCGCGTCGTCGAGGACGTGCTCCGAAGCATTTGCGCCAAGCCGCCGAAGCGCT